GAGTTGAGGAAGAACTTCTTCACTCAAAGGGTAGTGAATGTATGGAACTCACTACCCCAAAGGGCTGTTGACGCTCAGTCCTTGAACATATTCAAGACTGAGATAGATAGATTTCTTATTGCAAAAGGGATTAAGGGATATGGGGATAAGGCAGGGTCAGGTTATTAGCTGCATTAGATTAGAAGATCAGCCATGACTGAATGGCAGGGCAGGCTCGAAGGGCCGAATGGCCTACTGCTCCTCCTACATGTTATGTTATAAAATGGGCAAAGGAAGTGGATAGATTGATTTGATGATTTTGACTTGCTCATAAGCAAAACATACTGCAGTGGAGAACAAATGGATGCTATTGGTCTTGCAGTGGTGAGCTAAATAGGGTTAGACAGGTAAATTTGAAACAAATGAGTTCCTCTGAGGGAATGATTAAATGTATAAGATGACATTGTTTCTTCATCATCTTTAGGTCAATATCTTGGAACTCTGTAAGGACTGCAGCCAGCGATTTAAAGAAAGGTCCCACAACTACCTTCGCAGAGTACCAGGAGTGGACAATAAATCCTTGTCCTGCAAATATCACCCACATGAGTTTAATGTGGGTGACATTTGATTTTTTATTACATGTGCGCAATTGACTGCTGCGTTTCGCCCGCAAAATACACAGTCAATCCAGTTTACAATATATTTTGTGAAGCACTTTGAGATGTCTCAATGACATGATAAGGCGCTGTATCAAATGCAAGGATTATTATTTAAAAAACATTTTTTGGAGCAGGAAAAACTAATTAGGTCCAACAATCCAATCCCTTTTTATTGTTTCAACCATGTCCATTTTTGGTCCTTAAGAAGTAGTTAAAACTGTAATTTCAAAGTATTAAAAAGATAAATTATACTGCAATATAGTCATTTGCACACAGATACCTTAACATGTTTTAGAATAAATTTTCTAATGCAGTTCTGAATTTAATTAAACCAAAACAATAACCATTCAATTTCAATTGTTTATTGTACACAGGATCTTTAAAATAGTAGGAAGTTATTTTGGTTTTTGAAAGAATTAAATCAAATTGACCTGTGCTGTGGTTTTATAATAACTTGATTTTTTTCTAAAACAAAAGCTATTAAACTCATTCACATCGAGAGATTACTACTCCTTAATAGCATGCAAAAATCATTGCTCGATCTTTGAAAGCAACTGTACAACTCCAGATGGTCTCAGATGAGTCATTTAAACAGTTACACAAGGTTTTTCTTCCCGTCTGTTTTGTAATAAAAATAAGTAATGACTTGCGTAGAATCCTGTTGCTAAAATAAGAAACTCCTGTTCCTAAAATTTGTATTTCTTAGTGGCGATTGGAGCACTGTTTTACGTCAGTTACTGCTTATCAAAAATAAATTGGACTTAATAGCCATGTGTTTTTTTTTTGCAAGCTGTTTATTGTACCTTATTACATTGTGCACTCAATTGGCTAGTTATACCATTAGTGTTAAATAAATATATTAAAGATTGGAAATGTAATATTTGGGCAGCGACAGGATATAATTACTCCATTTTCATTACCCAAGGAACTTTTGCACCAGGTGCATTACGTATTTCTTCTGAGCAAAGTTCTTAACTATTAAAAACCATAACGATGCCCATTAGTGACTAATGGCAGACACTGTTTTGTCACGTAAAAGATCGGCAGTTGATCATGTTTGTAACATTTCAATCTAAGGGTATAAAGTAAACATACACGTTAAAAATATACGTGGATAATGGGAAATCACATTATAAGCAACATTGCCAAAGTGAACTGAACTTACCCAAGCATTACTCTCAAGATCCCTAATTCTAGAATATTTTTAATGCTAACATACAAAATTGAGATAATTTCAAACCGTGTTTGAACGTTAATATTTTTGTTTACATATAATATGCCTGGAGATAGTTTAGATAAGAATAATTTAATTGCCTGGAAAAAAAAGCAGATGTCTTCCTATTTTCCTGTCAAAGCACATGATGCGGTACACAGCATGAATATATCACTGCTGTCTATCCTCAAGCATAGAAGCCTGGGATTGGCAGTCGGAAATGGTGCTCTAATAGTTTATATGACTTCACATCTGTTAAACAAGATAAAATACGGTTCTGGCTCTGCACCATTAAAATTGCAGGGAAACTGCTGATATTTGTCACAACTGGCTTTAATTGTCCTCTGACCCCGTATTGATGGGGAAGATCCACAGCGTATTTTTTCAAAAAATTAACATTCTGAACAAGTTTGTATTCCTGTTTCATAAGAAAACCATGGCAGCAGCACTGCACGAGGCAGCAGGGAATTTTCAGTGAACAGAGCTTGAATCTCAGCGCACTTATCTGTGAGCATAGCACAAAACTGCCTTACTGTTGAGGATGGATGGTGGGAAACAAAATAAATAGGTACATAATAATAATAATCCTTGCATTTGATATAGAGCCTTATCAAGTCATCGAGATGTTTCAAAACGCTTCACAGGTTATACTCTAAAGTTGAGAACACTTATGCATCTTAACAGAATTCTAAGTTTGTTAGAATTGAAACCTTTGACTTTCCCGTTCCTGTATCTTCTCTGGAGCATCTTGCTGAAATCATGTCAGAAATCATGATGCTATATACAATGTACTGTTGGCCTTTACCTTGAAAGGGTAGTTGTGACTTATTTGGGCTCAGAAAAGTAAGGACAAAATTAGAGGGTTGTAAAATTACCTGTATTCAACTTTTCGGTGCTGCTGATAAAATATCTTGTTTCACTGCAAATGCTCCTAGAGGGGGCAGATAACTTATTGAGCAGCTGGAATCCCCACTATTTCACTATTTCACTTCTCACCCTCAAAAGATGTTTACACTTGGCCACTTTAGGGTTGCCACCTGAGCAAACTGTAATGTCCTGCACCCTCAAACACTGGCTTTTGGAGTTGTTAGAAGTTGTATCCCAACCCCAGCTTGGGTCCAAATCCCTGACTGTCCAGTGCCTTGGGACGCCCTCCTGACCTGAAAGGTGCTATACAAATGTAATTTGTTGTTGTTTTAACTTGGAATATTGAATCAGCATATTTGGTTTGAAGAAAAATCATTTTTTAAAATTTCATTCAAAGAATAAAATTGTTTAAACATGAAAAATATGTTCTAGAAAACAGACCAGCCACAGTTTCAATTGAAAAATTGTCCAAATCTTTCAGTTCCCTCGTGTTCTCCCTCTTTCAGCATATAATATATATACTGGAACAATTAATTGGAAACATCAGTAGACTGGGCAAGTGGACAAGATAATAGTGATCAGATGAAGATCTGAAGTGGTTTTGCCTTGGTTCAAAAGTAAATTTGCATTATAATACATTAAGTCCACTGCTTTACTCTACAAACTAATTATAATTGTCTACAATTTATTATCAGAATCTTAGAAAATTATGTTTTTCAAGTTACAAGACACTAAAAGGCTAATTCAATTTAAATTTTCATTCTTAGATTATTGCCCAAGTGAGGTAAACTGGCATACAAATTGTCAAGTTTCTTCATCTCGCATTTGACGAAAAGGTAGAATTAGGATTACTATTTTGGCAATTTCTATTGCCTCTAGACAAAAGTTTAGGTTAGCAATCACAAGTGTGTAGCAATAGTACCAAGTACTTAGCATTTTAATACATTTACGTTTTGAACCAGTTGGAGGAAAAAAATGCATTAAGCAAAATTTGGAAACAAAGGGAAGATTGAAAACACAGGAAAGATTTTGTCAGGGCACTAGATGGCACTCTTTGGCACAGTCAAGCTGATCCTTCTCAGTGTGAGAGAAAAACATGGAACCAACTGATCAGCTTCAAATGAGATGTTAAATCGAGTCACCATCTGTCTGTTCAGGTGGACATTATAGATTCCTTGATATGCAAAGAGAGTTGTTTCCGGTGCCCTGACCAACAATCTTTTAGATTAAAAAAGTGGTCATTCACTTTATGGTGGTTTGTGGGTCACTGCTATGTGCAAATCAGCTGCCCACAAGTACTACACGTGAACAAACAACTCAGTAAAGTGGCGTGATGTGTTTTGATGAAATAAGGTTCTAAATCAAATTCAAGTATTATATTTAAAACATGTTGGAAAGAAAGTGGAAAAATTCTTCAAATTCTGACAGAACTGGTAGGTTAACAATTTTATCTCTGGTCTGAAGATGAGGGTTAGTCCGGGGTATGAGTCTCCCAGGCTATATTTCTCTTGGGCTTGGAGATCTCAATTACAGCAACGTTCTGAAGTCCAATCGCAGAAAATGAAGAACAACAATTTACATTTGTTTAGTGCGCTTCACGTAGGGGAAAATCTCAGAGCATTTTAAAGGGATAAATTTGATGCCGAGCAAGGGAAAAGGTGGTGGAAAGGGCATGTTCAGAGAGGTAAGATTTGGAGTGGGAATTAAAGATAGAAAGAGAGGAGGTGAGATAGTGGTAGATTTAGGGAGTTCCAGAGGTTGCTGTCCACCAGCACTTAAACTTGTATGACAATGAATCAAGGAAGCCTCCGTTATTATATTTAGTTACTGCACTTTGCAATATATCCTGTGAAATACTTTGAAACATCTCAAAGAGTGATAAGGCGCTATATCAAATGCAAGGATTATTATAACTTATATTAACTTATTATTATTAATATACATCCAATCAATTAATCTCATCTCCCTGTGCTTGTAATTAGGTTTTCTGTCTTGAGAAGTCCGACATGTTTAAAATCCACTTGTGTAAAATATTGCTTCTAAGAAATTATTTGACTTTGACTTTCAGACTTGATTTGAACATTTGTATCTCGTCTTTCATCTCCAGCAAGCTTCCTTTCCTGTGATTTGTCAGCCTTGAAGATTTTAGAAGTACCTAATGTAACTTTTGATATGCCGTGGCTTCAATTGGTTGTTCCTTAGAAAATGAGCTGTCATTGAAATGGAACCATTGGTGCATCTGAAAAATAGGAAGTCCATGTATAACTTTTTTTTATTTATAGAAATGCCTGATTCCAATTCCAATGAAGAGGAAGTAAATGAAACTCAGCCTTGGGCCAAGCCGCTTGTCCAACTATGGCAGAACAAGTCCCTAAACATCCAAGCTGAGAAAGAGTACAATGGAGAAGCCTCCAAAATGGAACCATATTGTGCCATTTGCTCACTTTTCTTTCCTTACTATCAGGTAAAATGATTAAATGATCTAAAAGTTTAAGAGAAAGTAAAGTGGGGGGGGAAATGTCAATCTTTTTCATTTCATAAAACCCTTTTGTTTCAAAAACAGTTTATCTAAAATTAGCATTGATTTATAACTATAGTTCTAGATTGGCAGCATATGTTGCTTAATATATAAAGAGCTTAAACACTAGCGCAGTGTTGGGCTGAATGGTCTTTTTCTGTGTTGTATCACTTTATGTAACTTTGAAATCACTTTGTTGAAGAAGGGGAGAGGGAGAAAAAAAGTTTTAGAGGTCATGATACAGATGTAGAAAATGTGAAACGAGGCTGGATAAATATATTGGGGTTGAGATTATAAATACATTGATGTGCTTATATGAATACTAGCTTATTTATATGCTTACTTAGAAGTAAGCAATAGAGATGGAGCAGATTGTTAATGATCAGTGGAAAAAGCAGGTTTGATGAACTGAATGATCTTTTCTTGTTCCATAGTTTCTTAGCCTCTTGCACTGTTTTATTGAAATAATGATCGGGGTTTAAGGATTTTTAAAATTTAACTGAATCATTGGATGTAACTGAACAACTGACGAGCTGTAGTTTGGACTAGATAAAAGTGCTTGCGAAAAGTTATGCCTGTTTGATTTTATTAGATATTTCTGTACAAATCTTTAAAAAAGGAGCATTGGATAATAACTGTGCACTATATTTCTTTAACTTCTAGCCTGATAACCCGACAGAAAGAAAGTCCGAAATCAAAACTGATACTTCTGAGTTGCCAGGAATGACGAAGCATAAGACTAAACCGCTCATTCCAGAAATGTGCTTTACATACAGTGAAGAAAATAATGAGCCTTCTCCTGGTAATTCATTTATTGAAGAGGATGGAACTAGTGCACTGATTTCCTGTGCAAAATGCTGTATGCAGGTTCATGCAAGTAAGTTCATTATTCTACTCATTACTGCTCACTAAATGTTCAATTATGCGAGGAATTGTTGTGACATTTTTCTTGTCCCACAGGTTGTTATGGTGTTCCACTGCATGAAATTCATGATGGTTGGACCTGCTCGCGATGTATAATTGGAGCATGGACTGCAGTAAGTACTTATGTTACTGGATTTCACTAGTTGTCATGTTCAGCTGAATGCCAAATTACAATAGCCTTGGATGGGTGTTTGCTGATGTAGTAGTAGCCTTAAGCAACAACAGGTGGAGTTGCATCGTAAACCCCATTATTATTTGTTGAAGGATAGTTCACTGACCATCAAGGTGAGCTTCCACGTTTATAATAATAATAATCCTTGCATTTGATATAGCGCTTTTCACGTCGGGAGGACGTCCCAAAGCGCTTCACAGAACACACTGTAAAGTGAATTGACTGTACATTTGTGGGCGAACGCGGCAGCCAATTGCGCACAGCAATGTCCCACAAACAGTCGTAGATTGAAAATGACCAATTTATGATTGTTTTTGGTTTTGGAGGGATTATCAATCCTAACAACAATTACATAACACGGTTTATGTAGCTCTTGCAATTGGTTATTTAACTTAGCTTAAGCAGCTTCTGGCAAATGGTTGCATTACATAGTTTAGGACTAGATTGGCAACTCGGTGTTTCTGTACTGGAATGGTGCACAGTATGTGGAAGAAGAGGAATAACAATTCTAAATAATGTCAGTGCCATCTTTACACTGTATTTTTGAAACATATTTTTTGCTTAGAAGTTGCCACTCAAGAGAATTAATCCTATTTCCCTGGAATTGTTGGACGCCGAGGAAATGGTGCATTTTTCATCTGATGTTCTTGATAAGAGATTGTAGTATAATTAAATATTTATTGTATACATGCTCCATGTCACAGATTGATCCATATTGAATCTGTAGTAAGGATTTGGCTGGATTGAAGAGCAGTCTGATGTAGTGAGCACTTTAGGTTGAGGCGTACAGTCGGCTGCCTGATGAATCCTGCTGAATTACAATTACCATTTTTATTTATTGGCTTCCACTGGATCTTTAGAACAAAGTGTTCAAGATACCGTTCAGTGGACATGGACCTCAGAGCAGAGAGAGGAGATTAATACTCTGTGTTGGTACGGTTGTGTAGACTTTATCCTAAGTCAATTGATTCACAGGTCAAGAAAGGACCTCTGTCAGCTTAGCACTTCCACCATCCTTTTTATGGTACAACTGCCTCGACAAGAACTTTTAGTGTCTAAGCATAGGGTTAGGGGAATGAATCATGAGCAGGGCCAATGGGAAATTGCTGAAATATTTGCCAAATATTCGAGGGAAATTGGGCAGATTTTGCGGGAAATTGCGGGGGTTGGTTGGTGCTATTGAGAGGTACATTTTACTGCCAACCTACCTTTTTTCACTTTATTGATAAGAGCTAAACATGGCAAAATAACTGAGATCAGGGAGGGTGAAAGGTAGGTGGGTGGCCGAAGGCACAGTCCAAGAGGAGGGTTTTGAGTTGTGCCTTGAAGGAGGCAAGAGTGGGGGCGAGGCGAAGGGAATGTGCGATAGAGTTCCAGAGGGTGAGGGCAGAGAGGCTGAAAGCCCGACCGCCGATAGTGGGGCGGACCGAGCAAGGGACATGGAGCAGACTGGAGCCTGCTGAGTGGAGGTAGCGGACAGGTTGATAAGGGGTTAGCAGGTTGGAGAGGTAGGAGGGGGCAAGGCCTTGGAGGGCCTTGAACGTGAGGATGAAAATTTTGAACTCGATCCTCTGAGGGATGGGGAACCAGTGGAGCTGGTGAGTGTGGGTATGATGGGGTCACAGAGCCTGGTGCGGGAGCGGACACGAGCTGCAGAGTTCTGGATGCTCTGCAACTTGTGGAGGGAAGAGTTGGAAAGGGCGCAAGCAGGAAGTTGGCATAGTCGAGCGTGGTTGTAATGTATGAGGGTTTCGGCGGCCTGAGGGTTGAGGCAGTGGCGGAGTCGGGCAATGTTGCGGAGGTGAAGGAAGGCAGAGCAGGTCATGGCATGGATATGGGGGAGAAAGGACAGTTGAGGGTCGAACAAGATGCCTAGGTCCCTGACTGGCTTGGTGAGGTGGAGTGTGCATCCACGGATGCTGATGCTGCCAGTGCCTGAGGTGCGGATGTGCTGGCGCGAGCCAATCAGGAGAGCCTCAGTCTTGCTGACGTTCAACTGTAGAAAGTTGGTTCTCATCCAGAACTTGATATCAGACAGACAGTCTGTCAGGATATCAATGGTCCTGGAGTTGAGGGTAGAGGCAGAGCGGTTCATGGATAAAAACCCATGATTGCTTTGTCAATTTTCAGGAGAGTGCCTTATTTTTATATCTCATACTTTGGATGAAATGGATCATTTAATTTCACTAAATGGCAAAAGATTTGTTTCAAGTGATTGTTTGAGGGCACTTTGTCAGGAAGTAGGTGACCTTCCCTTTGGGTTCCTTTTCTTTGGAAGACAATTTGCAGAAGTCAATGGGTTTTTGTAATACTCCTCTATTGCCAGCATCAGTTGTGATGTTTTGCCCTGTTGCTCAGTCAAGTGATGATCTTTTTTTCCCAAACAATAAATCACTGAATATTTTTGGCCTTTGGCATTTTAGTTTGTAATTCAATGTATACTTGGTTCCACTGCATTCAACCAACTTTTCACTTCAACAACGGTATTATCTCAGCAGAATACTGAGAAACTTTCACTGGCTGGTAAAACAGAGGAAATGGTGTTTGTATTTGATATAGCACCTTATCATGTTGAAATGTCTCCAAATGGTTTTACATGATGGGTTACTTTGAAGTATAGTGTAGGTAAGCATTCTGCAACACCTATTTCCTGCAAACAACAATGAGATTAAATAGCTAATTACTTTGCTGAATTTTGAGAATGACAATCGTTCCATTTTGCTCTTGAATATCACACTTGGAAGGCCAGGTTGTGCTTTGCTTTCCTGTTGTTTTACCCCAGAGAGTCTAGATATATGATCTCTTGCAGAGGTAAAATCGAGAGAGGTTAGAAAGAATTTCTTCACTCAAGGTTGCTAGAATGTTCAATTAATTTCCCCAAATGACAACTGAAAACTGGACCAATGGAATTATTGAAAAGGGAACTACCGAACAGATCGATTTCAAGATTCTCTCACTTGTTTTCAAATCCGTTCAAGCCCATGCACCTCCCTACCTATCCATCCTGCTCATCCCCGACTCCACCACCTGCTGCCTCTGTTTGCCCGGCTCCAGCCTCCTTTTTGTCCCTCGTCCCCGCCGCTATGCCTTGAAACTCTGGAACTCTCTCCCTCAGTCCTTCCCCACCTTCAAATTCTGCCTAAAGACCTTCCTTTTTGATCTTGCTTACGGTCACCCCCACTCACTCTCCCCCTGGCTCATTGTCAGACTCCACCACTGTCAAGTGCTCCCAGACGCTATCCCGCGTGAAGGACGTTATATAAATGCAAGTTGTTGTTGTTGACATGCACCTGGGCAGTAAAATCATTCAGGGATATTGGGAAAGAGCTGGAAAGTGAGGTAATAGAATTAATAAAAAAAGTCACAGAAAAACAGGTGGCAGTTGGCACCAACACAGTGTGTCAAGTGTCCTCCTATGTTGAAAATATAACCTTAGTCTTTAAGGCAAGTAGGGGCCACTATCTTCAAATGAACCCCTCACCCTGACCATTTCCCCCCTGCTTGGGTCCTGACCCAACTGTCCAGTGCCTTGGGATATCCTCCCGACGTGAAAGGCACTCTATAAATGCAATCTTGTTGTTGTTGTTGTGGTGGAAAATTGCTTATGAGCCATTGTAAATAATGGATTTGAGCACTTGGCAAGGAAACCCATGCCAGTAGTCCTTCCCAACCCAAATAAAATGAAGTTAGTCTTTAGAGGGGAAGAGAAGAGGAATTAGCAAAAGATCTACATAGTGTTCTATTGGTATATTCTGGAAAATAAAAATGAGTTGAAGATTTTCTGTCTTTTGGGCATAACATCAGTTATCACACAGCGATTGGTGACTGTTAGCAATGATATAGGTGACTGTACCCCCTATTTTCCGAGCATCTATTTCCCTTTGAAACATCCCAATGGATTCTGCCTTTATGGCCTACTGGGTTAATGAAATCAACATTTTCACAATTTCCTGCCTGAAGAAATGTTTTCTGATCCATCTAACTATTCTAGCTCTAATGTTTAGATAGTTTCCTTGGTTAGATCCCACTAGTTGACCTCTCTGCTGCTTTCGACACCTTCGACCACTCTATCCTCTTCCACCGCCTCTCCTCTAACCTCAACCTCCACAGCACTGTCCCTAATTGGTTCAGATCGTACTTCTCACACCGCCTGCACTTCATCTCATCAAACACTTCTCCTCTAGTCCCCAGACCATATCGTGCTGCTTTCTTCAGGACTCTGTCCTTGGTCCCTTCCTCTTCAATATCTATATGCTCCCTCTTGGTGACATCATCTGTAAACATGGGGTTAACTTCCACATGTATGCAGATGACACTCAACTCTTATCTCTCTGCCTCCAGCCTTGACTCCAGGACCACTGCTGCGCTGACAGAATGTCTGTCGGACATCAAGTCATGGATGAGAGCTAACTTTCTTCAGTTGAACGTCAACAAGACCGAGGCTCTCCTGATTGGCTCCCGTCAGCATCTTCTCACCTCAGGCGCTGATAGCATCACCATCCACGGTTGCACACTCCACCTTACTAAGCCAGTCCGCAACCTTGGGGTCTTGTTTGACCCTAAACTATCCTTTCTACCCCACATCTGCGCCATGAACCCCTCTGCCTCCCCCCACCTCCGCAACTTTGCCCGCTCCGACACTGTCTCACACCAGAAGCTACCGAAACCCTCATAAACTCATTCATTACATCGAGGCTCGATTATGCAAACTGACTGCTTGTCGGCCTCTCCAACTCCTCCCTTCACAGGCTGCAGATCATCCAGAACTCTGCAGCCCATGTCCTGTCGTGCACCAGGCTCCGTGACCCTATCATCCCCATCCTCGCCCGACCCCACTGGCTTCCCATCACACAGAGGATACAGTTCAAGATCCTGGTCATCACCTTCAAAGCCCTCCACAGTCTTGCTCCCCCTACCTTTCCAACCTCCTAACCCCCTACTACTTTGTTCACTCCCTGCGCTCAGCGGGCTCCGGCCTGCATCAAGACCTCACCTCGCTCGCCCCACTATTGGCGGGCAGACCTCCGCCACTCTGTCCCCACCCTCTGGCACTCCATCCCACAGCCCCTCTGTCTCGCCCCCTCCCTTGCCACCTTCAAGACCCTCCTCTTCGACCGTGCTTTTGATCTCCCTGATCACCTGCTTCCCCCCTGCCCTCCCATCTCCCCCATCTCGACACTCAGCTTGGGTCCGTAACTCTGTCTGTTCAGCACCTTGGGACGTCCTCCCGACGTGAAAGGCACTACACAAATGTAATTTTGTTGTTGTTGTTATTGTAGTTGTTCATTACCTCTCTTGTGAATTGCCTTCATTATTTTAAACATCTCAATTTGATTGCTCCCCGACTCTAAAGAATATGAATCAAATGTAGCCAGCCTGTCATTGTAACAGTGCATCGTTTTAGGTATTGATCTAGCGAATCATCACTGGATGTTCTCCTAGGCTATTATACTTTGCTTATCAATCAAAAACTGAACACAGTACTCCAAATGAGGGGTGGCCAGCTCTCTATATAATCCCAGCACTTTCTCTTGTTTTTATATTGTCGACCCTCAGTTATAAAGCTCATTATTTGTCTAATTGGTTGCTTTCTGTATCTGTGAGCTAGATTGTAATGATTTATTGACTTGGACCCCTTTGTTCCTCTTAGTTTTTCTGTATTTAAAATATAATAGCATCCTCTGTTCTTGAATCTGAAATGTACTACCTCACATTTGGCAATGTTATATATCACCTGCCATAGTTCTACCCACTTGCTTAATCTGTCTGTACTTTTGCAATTTTCTGCTTTCTTCTTCATAATTTATACCACCTCCCATCTTCATGTCATCAGTAAAACTGAGAATTACATGATAACATGATCTGCCATGGTACATTTTTAAACAAAAATGATTGTCAGTGGAATACCATATTATATTTACAGCTAGACATTTTGCATTGACAGAATGTTTTTGACTGGCGCACTGCATGGGGAATGAAGACTTTTTCATTAATATCCACTTAAGTTTGAGTGTTTTATTTCAATTAAATTTTTTTTTGCTCCCATTCATACGACTATAATAAGTATATAGTCAATAGTGACATTGTGGCAATTTGTGATATTAGCATTTATAATTTTACCATTTAAATTATAGTGCAGCTGCCATGTTTTGTAATTGTCATTGCATGCATAGGAAAGAACTGACAAAATGAATAGTTTAATGTGTCTTGTTTTTCCATTTTTTCTAGGATTGTTGCCTGTGCAATTTGAGGGGTGGTGCACTTAAGCAGACAACTGATAATAGGTGAGTTACTGCCTCCTACAATTCTAAGTGAAGATTGGGACAGTGTGAGTCAGCCTGGCTCAGTAGTAGCTCACTTGCCTGAGTCAGACGGTAGTGTGTTTAAGCCCCACTTCAGGACTTGGAGTCACATTCTGTCTTTAGCATCATTTGTAGATAGAGCTGGTGCACTAACTGCGAATATGTTACTAGAAAGTTACTAGAATCTAAGATTTGGAGTTGTTTGTACCGAGTTGTTTTGTGCCATTACTTTCTTATGGACAATACCCAAGGCACATCAAGCTTTTTGCTTGACAGTATACATGCAGGATGCTTCTGATGCCTTCTAGACTGTAACTTTGTGACATTAACCAAAGATTTTCTGACAAAAGTATAAAAAACAGTCCACAGAGATTCAGCATCCTGATACAACTCAAAATTACTGATGTTCCCAATGGACAAAAGAAAACAGCTGACTAAAAGGCTGAAAACAAAGATAGGACCCTGAAGTCTCTACAGCTTCACTTTGTGGAGAGACTGTGCTGTGAAAAAGAAACCCCAAGAGAAGTGGGCGAGGAGGGGTCAGCAGAGGTTTGAGTTCCGGTCTCCTAGGGCTATCCGTAGACATATTAGGTGCCAGATATAGCAAATAACTTCAAAGACAAAATAGCTTGAGGAAGTACTGATCCAAACAGATTTTTCTGTTTAAATGTTTTCTGCGCTAGCTTTTGATAGTACAGTTTTCATGGAATTGTTTTCTGTGGATGAATTCTGAGCCTTACCAATGTCTACGTGGATGATGTGACTAACAATATTCTCTGCATTTGATATAGCGTCTTTCAAGTTAGGAGGATGTCTCGAAGTGCTTCAGAGGATATACTATAAAGTGTATTGACTGTATTTTGTAGGTGCATACAGCATCCAATTCAGACACAGCAATGACCTACAAACAGTTATGAAGTTAATGGCCTCAAACCAACATGCTGAGGCACATTGTAGTCCTCAGGAGGAAGGGAACATTTTCATACATTTTTCCATTCTTGAAGTGTTTCATCGTGAAGAAAAATTTCAAGTTCGCTGAAGAAATACAGGAGACTTACTGGCAGGAGTTGACTTTAAAGTTGCACGCTTTTAAGTTGGCATTCGAGATTTCCCACAGCAATGTTTCAGCACAGAGGGTATCAACTTTCAGTGTAAGGTTCACATATCTGAATTTGCCTCAGTTGCTCAAGGATTCATAAAGAGTTTACCCATAGTTGCCTTTTTGAGGCTGTAACAACTTCACATTTACTCATGTGTTCAGAGCACTTTTGCAGGTGATCCTAAATTTGCTGTGAGACTGGGCCTTCTCATAAATTGAATGGTGTCCCAGCTTCAATAAATGGAGAATCTTTCCTTATGGATTGATCAGATGGAGCGCATAGACTCTTCTGATCTTAAATATTTCAGTGCAATCTTATAAGTAGATTCTGGTTTGGCAACAACTATTTTTTGTTTCAAATACAACAGGACTCTTGATCAGTGTTGCAACAATACCATATTGCTTTGTGTTCCCAGAGAAACTCTCTATTATTCCACGGCATTGAGGTAAATCAGGAGATGGATGATACCATAAGAATATAGTCTCAATAGATAAAATTACTGATGATGACAGCTGAAGTTGAAACTCGCTACTACATCCTCTGTAACTTCTTTCCCCCCTACACGCATTGTATTTCAAGATCAAACTATGCCTGTAACTTTCAATTTCATGACACAGATACTGAAAGATATTGTGTTGATCTATAATCTATTTTATATAAAGATTGTACTCCAGAATTTGGAAGATGTTTGATCATTCATTCAGTTATAAAAACCTGACCCCTGCTTTCATTCAAAGGTTTCTGTAAAGAAAGGTTTCTAGAAAAGATTGGCATATATGTTGTTTTCAAAGAGCAGGTATCAGCCAGCACCACTGCATCAGTGGAGAAACTACCTTCATTGTCAACTGGTTTCTAAGACTACACGTCTGTGTTGTGTTCACAGCGGGAATCGGGTAGCTTTGAGTGGGGCCTGTCACATGTGCATACACTCTTCGAACTACTGTCATCAGAATAGTGAGAAGTATGCTTACTAGAAGCAACAGTCCTAATATTTCTGAAAGGAGAATTGAGAGAAGTGTATTTCACTCTTCATATGCCTATCTATGCATAGAGTCCTGTAGCTCAGTGGTTAGAGCACTCGCCTTGCAAGCGAGACACCTGGGTTCAATTCCAGGCAGCGCGAAACCTTGGGCAAGTTTCCTTACTCCACACAGAGCCTAATAATAATCCCTCCAAAACAAAACAATAATAAATTGGTCATTTTCAATCCACGACTGTTTGTGGGACATTGCTGTGCGCAATTGGCTCCTGCGTTTCACCCACAAATATACAGTCAATTCACTTTACAATCTATTCTGTGAAGCGCTTTGAGAGGTCTAGAAGACGTGAAAAGCGCTATATCAAATGCAAGGATTAATATATTATTATTATAGATAATATGGTTTAAGACAGTTGCCAGATTTCCTATCCAAGGTTGCTGCAGAATTTCAATACTTAGAAATGACTTCACAAATTCCACTCAAAAGATATGAAGGGAACCTGTCAGCTCAAGACTGAACTGTAAAGGAAAGTTATGCATCTCTCTAGGCTAATTATAAGTCTAAATGTGGTCTGTATCTCCAGGTTGAAACCAAATCTAAATTCAATATAGCGTTGTGTATCATAAGCCAGATAAGTGAATGCCCACTTCTCCATATCAAGGTTGAGATGTGGAAGTGAAGTTGGATTGAACATTGACAAAAAAAAGCTTTAGTTGCATGCATGATTGCGTTGTCTACTAATACTTTTTCCCAAGTTTGAAGTGTGTTCAATAAGCATTGGATATGCCTGATGACCTGATATCCACCTTGTTTTCATACCCACACTGGGGCTGGTCCCAGTTAGTGCAGATATTAGGATTACTGGTGAATCTGCCTTTTCTTCATGATCACCTGTCTCCATCCTGACCAATATGGCCTAAACCCTTCATTACCATCATATTGACCTTCTCCCATGCCCTCCTAGCCAGCCTCCCCAGCTCGGCTATTCAGGAAGCGCTCACTTCCTTACCCAAAATCAAGCTTTGTTTGGCCATCACCTGTCTTTGCCAATTGCACTTTCTTCCAGCAGATTGAGACCTCCCCTCTCATGAACAAATCCTTACATGCCTTTGCCCTTTGTTATTTCTGTGACCTTTTCTAGTCTCACTCTCCTAGTTTGGCTGACTCGAGCCTGCTGCCCACTACTCTTCCCAGATCAGTCGCAGCCAAGCCTTCACCCACTATACCCTTACCCTCTGGAATTCCCCCCTAAATCCCTTCATGTTATCACTCCCTCTTTATCTATCCTTAAATGCCTTCTGAAATCTACCACCTTGTATTTGCCTACAGTTGCATCTCTCCTACCCCCCTGCACCCCCCCCCCCCACCCCCACCTTTCCCTGCTTGCTGTCCAGCACTGTCTCTGTGAAATGCTTTAAAACATCACCCTCTATTACATTAATGCAAGTTCTTGTTGGATAGCTGTGGTGGAGTCTGTGATAGGGTAGGTTATACCTGGTCCTCATTCAAGAAACTTTTTATAGTTGAATTGCCATGGAGGTAAATTTGCAATGTTTCCAAACCCATTCCCTGTGTTAATTAGAAATCCATTGCCAATTGCTGGAGCTGGAATTCCAGTATTTGTTTAGAGGCATTTTTTTTTAAAATCAAGAACAATGTGTCATAAGAATAAACAGATAATGGTGAGTTCCAGGGATCTTTTCTTTCATGAAAAAAAGCATCATGAATCTGCCTCACTTTGATGCCTCTGAGTAATGGGCTTTTCTTTCAGACGTGGAGAGAGCTGCCATAATTCACCTTCACTAGTGAGATATCATCTATACAAGACTGACAATAATTGGTTATTGACCTGCAGCCTTTCGGCTTTTAACGTACATGGGTAGACTTAGCAATTAGGTGGACTGAAGGTAAAAAGAAACTGGTTTCACTATATCCTGAGATTGTTTTGTGTATGAAATCAAAATGGGTTCCAAGTCAAGTTTAACAGGCAAGCATTCTTACAAACAGAAGACAAAATGAATACCAGCGTATCTCTGTATTTCATCACATTATTTAGATTGCCTCTCGTGTTCTGCAGGTGGGCTCACGTGATGTGCGCTGTGGCAATTCCCGAAGCAAGGTTTGTGAATGTAGCAGACCGTGGCCCCGTGGATGTCACCAGGATACCTTTGCAAAGATTAAAGCTTGTGAGTACACAGTGTGTTATTTATTCTCTGTTGTATTTTTTGGTTGAACTACAGTACAATGTTTCTGTGTAGTCAAGACTGATTCAAGGTATATAGAAATCTTTGAGGTTAAATGCTCTGTGTGCCTTAGAGTCATCATTTTAGTGAAAACGGCACAATTCTATTGAAAATGGCAGATTTCATTTCTCTGACTTTTGGATCTTCTGTGAAGTCTGTTTTGTATGTTTTGTAGAAGCAAACTTCCAGTATTAAGAGCTGTCACCAGCTGGCCGCTGAGCCATTCCTGCCGGAGGAAGGCAGCAAATCTCTATGTGTGTCAGTGATGTCAGGATTTCAATTTCAAAGTAATGGGATGTAATAGCTGTGCATTAATTCTGAATTTATATAGGATTCAGTGGGTCACAACATCCTTCCCAGACACAATGCAAATAATTTATACTGTATATAAAAACTATACAGTGCAGAGATGTTATTGTGTTATGACCTCCTGAAGGTTGTTTATTAATCTATATATATAAACATATAGAGGCCTTACACACTTATTTTACTTTCTCCTTCTACTGTCGTCAAAAGTATAGTTCAAAATGAACAAAATGCACATCCATAGCCTTTAGTAAAAGAAGAACCATCAAAAAAATGTCTATAATGGAAATTATAAGAGAAACCCCAAAATAACTTAAAAGTATCATGTGATAGTCCTCTATCTGATCCCATGCTTTCCCTCAATCCCCAAAGCACTGGTTTGTACATTTCCACTGTGAGAATGGCTAGACCACTGAATATCACACAAACATCCACTTGCACAGAGTGAAGAATTGTAATGTCCAGTATGCAGCTTTTAAACCAATCAAATTGCTAAAAACCTAGAGTAATATCATATCCATTTAAAAAAAATCTCTCTGTGCTTTTGGTTAAAAAAAATCCCTGTTAATAAAACTCCTCGGCACACACAAAATATCCTTTCTCTCACCTCTATCTACACTGTTCTTCCTCTTGCTCTTCACTCTCTCTCTTACCCCAGTCCCCTTGCACTAACAGCAGGTGACTGCACTAGAAACACATGGTGCTGACTCTTCTGATGTCAGTAACACTTCCTATGTCAGTGCATCAGGAGTATAAAGGAACTGATGTCAGTGTGGCCATTTGAAAAGGAATGATATAAGCCACGTGTGCAGGAAGTGATATGACTTTTAGACATTTTCACTCCATTCCATTAAAACATGGTGTGAGTTAAAAGGATATGGGAAAAGAAGAATTGTATAGAAAAGAATGGCAGGGAAGGGGAGAAGCGATGAATGTGAGAAGACGAGGAATGAAGATGAGTTAGAAGGAAGGGAGAGGAAGGGGTGGGAAGTTAGGGGAAGCAGTTTGGGTGAGTTTGATAGTGGGAGTTAAGAGCAACCTAAAACAAAAGGGAGCGAGTATTGCATAATCTCTATGAGGAAGGTAAAGAGAATAGACAAAGAGGTACAGAGTGCGAGTGACTGAGTCTGAAAGAGGGAAAAGTGAATGTGATGAAAGCTAGAGATGGGAAAGAGCAAGTGAGAATGTGTGCAAGAGACACAGAGGCAAAGGCTCGGAGAAAGACAGAACAAACCCACAGGGAGACATGATAGGAACAGAGAGACAGGAAGTGATGGAAACAAACCGGAAATTCATTCACACAGTATAGTTACACTCACGACCATTAATTTCCTCCCTCCTATTGCCCATCCCGGATGGGCCACTTCTCCATCTGACTTGCTCCCTTCCCTCCTGTACGTAACAAAATGTATTTCTTTGACTGTGCTTTCGGTCATCTCCTCAGCACCGGCGCCCAACCAGAATTGTCAAGGCTTTGGGGCGGTCTCCCGACATGAAAGGCACTATTATAAGTGTGAAATGTATTGTGCAGTATATTCAGTATATTGTCAATACAGTATTTTTAAATAAAGGCTGATGTAAATCTCAAACACTTAGTTTCATCAAACAGTGTACATGGGGCTGTGCTTCAGCAAGGTGTCAACACTCAAGTGATTTGGGGAGGTGGATGGAAGTTTTATCAGGGAAGTTGAAAAGAAAAAATTGGTGAAAAGAAAAAAAGTAGTTATTCTGTCTGTTCAGTCATCTCTCTTTATATGCCTCATTATATGATACATGAAAAGCTTCTAGCCAATATGTAATGAGGTGAACATCAGAGAATCACTCAGGCAATTGGATCTGCACCAATTAAGATGGATCAGCCAAACTTTTGAATGTGTAATTTTACATATTTTCTGCACTGATTGAATGTTACACAAATTGAACATTTCATACTGTACTTGCCAGTTTGGAAGCAGATTCAGTCTCTAATTGCCCATCAGTCGATTCTGTAACAACCTCCCAACCCCCAACCCCCCCCTCCCCCCCCCCCCACACACACACATTCACACACAAGCAATACAACAATTGCATATAATTGAACGGTGAAAGCTTTGTGATTTAAAAACTGTAGAATCTATAAGTAGATTTATCCAACATTTTGTATACATTTTGGCTCCTGTATTTTGCTGTCTCTGTTGCCAAAGAGATACTGCATTCTAAATGCAAGGATATAACTTCACACTGATAATCACAAACCAATCATAATTGTACTTGAAATTGCAATCAATTTCAGTAATTTATTATTCTAACCCTAAGCTGTTAGTCATTGTAAAGCACTTTGAGATGTTCACCTTATGTAAAAGGTGCTTTATAAGTGAGGTGTTGTCACCTTAGTGTTCTATATTGACTGTATTTCACCTTTTTTAAGAAAAATGCAATGATTTTGAATTCTGCGTATTTTATGTTCCAACATAGGTTTGAGAGTACTGTTTAAAAAATATGACGCTCTATGATATTACATAAAATTTTGCATTGTTTAACAACTTTGCTCTGTTGAAGGAGCTTGAATGTGTCTATTTTTAAATCTGCTCTGTTCACTTCGGTACATGTTGCGTGGAAGTTGAAAATTAATTGTATTGGAAAGGCTGAATCAATTAATTTACCATGGCCACTGATGCAGACAGTCTTGGAATATGTAGAAGCAATTGTACCTAATTTAGCTTTTCTAGATTGTGTCAAGACAAATGAGAAATTTAATGTGCTTTGCTTCAGCTGCTCATAAGTCAACTTCCTTGGGACATGGTGCAGTTTATTCACTCTGTTTACCTAAACTAATAAATAAAAATGATATTTTTCTAATATGGACCAAGGTGAAATATGAGATTACAACAACAACAAGATTACATTTGTATAGCGCCTTTCACGTCGGGAGGACGTCCCAAGGCATTGAAGGTACTTTGTTGGAGAATAATGTTAATTTTTATCCTGTTGAGAGCAAATCAAAATGTCCCACAGTTGACACAATGGACTTGCATTTCAAGGAATACTACTGATATTTTATAAACTGTGTAAGAAAAAAGTACATGCTTTGTTTTGAAAGTTTAGATTTTAACTTAAACTTGAATGTTTTCCCTAACTAAAATATACTTAAAATTGTTGATACAGTTATGTTCCATATGGATTCTTGCTGACGACATTCCTGAATACTTTCAAATCCTTGCTTCAGGATGACCACTGTTTTATGAAACTATAATATTAATGAGTCCATAATAGATGAAGTGTCTCTGGATGCTGGAGACTCGGTTATGTGGACTATTTTCTCCTTTATCAGAGTAAATGTGAGATATTGGCATCTAAATTCCATCTATCAGTGAACCCAAAATTGTTTACCTCAATTTTGTGAAATATTTGTATGATGACTTTCCCAAGTGAATCCCAATACTTTTTTAGATAAAATTAATGGTGTGAATCTTATAATGATTAGTGTGCAGAACCAGAGAAAATGAATATAAGGTGAAAATCCGTAAACTAATTTAAGGATTATTATTGTCACCCAGGAAAGTAACTAATTATTCTGTTGGCTCTGTAACACAACACATTATTCGTTCTAATTCTGAAACCCTGTCAGCAATGTGTGCATAAATATACAATCACATTGCTTGCATTTAATATAGCACCTATAATGTAACTCTCAGTGTGTGGTGAGTAATTGCTGTCAAATATAGTGACTGCATATACGTATTCAAATATCGTAGAAGTTTGCACATATCAATGTCTTATAAACAGTCTTTGGTTTGTGATTGAAAAAGCATGAGTAAATAGTCAGATTGGATTGTAACATAGTACCTGGCTGATGGAGCAAGCTGTAATTAGTTTTTCTTGTTACTGCATTGCTTTTATATTTTTCTTCACAATTGGGATTGGAAGAAAGGCCATTTTCTTCATTTTTGGACATATCCAAAGATTTGCCCCTTCTGACAATTGCCTTGTCAGAACCTGGCAGGTTCCTTAACGCCACTGTTTCTGTTGAGCCAGCCGTCTGTATTTTGAGTTTCCAGACAGATAATCTTTTAAACTTAGTACTGAGAAAGCTCTTGGGCTTCATGCTGTTTGAAAGCTTTTCCATTTTGGAAGCAGGTGTAGACGCGCAGTTGAAATGACTGGTTTAAGAGCTTATTTTCTTTTGTACCCAAGAATCTTTTCAGGATTAGAGCTCTTTTTGTAGATAACTACATTAATAACCACCCATACATTCTTTCAAAATGTAGGTGATTTATATCCTGGGGTGTTACTTAGCAATCATCCAGTTTCCTACATTGTCAATTGTTTGCTCGGAATTTGTCAGGTGTATCCTGCTGGTTTCTGCTGCAAATAATAATGCAAATGATGTAGCCTCTTTATCATGTTGAAATGTCTCCAAGTGCTTTGCAGAGTTTCCTATAAAGTGTGATGATTATTTGTCCACAAACTTGGCAACAAATTGCAGAGAGCAGTGTCCCACAAACAGCCATGAATGGAATGAACAATTTGTTATGTGGGGAATGTTGGCCAGGGACACCGTGAGACACTGGCTTCTCTTTTCAAACAGTGTCATTGGGTCTTTAACGTCCACTTGAACAGTGGACATTAAAGACTGTTAAAGGGACCTCAGTTTAAGG